TAAGACTATAACGACTTGGTTAGTGAATTAATTTAAGAGAAAACATGTTCCACGAGATGGTGGAAGGTGTCATTAAACAAAACAGCAGATGACACGTTGCAATAGTCCAATGGTGGAACAAGTCGACGCCGGTTTCCAGCTGGACGGTTCAGGATATGGGCCGGTTGATTTGAAAAAATCATTGCTGAGATAGCTTCTATTGTCTTAATCTGATTGGAGTATTATTTATGTTATTACTAGAGACTAATTATTGCAGGGTTTATAAGAAAAATAATACAAAAAATTGGTCCCGTCGCTAGCAAGAAAGAATTAGTCAGTCAATACGACTTTGAAATCAATAAAAAAAATATATGGGTGTGTGTGTAACTGATAGAAGCTGTATCCATGTGAAACGTGGGAAGGCTGGACAAATTGTCAGTCAGATTTGCTCCGTTTTTATTCGATCCGAAAAATCCAGATATCTATTATGAATCAAAACAAAGCAAATAGTAAATTTTAATATATATCTAAAACGAAACAAATCACAAATATTAAATTTCAAAAATCTGAATATCCATTCAGATCCGTAAAAAACTAATATATACGTATAATTTATACATTTGGAGAAAATATTTGTAGTAAAAATAGGTAAATACTACCTTTTTAATTGAAATATATTTTACTTCTTAAATAATAAACATATCATATTTTACCATTTTAATCTTCCACCTTTTATTTTTTTTTAGTTATATCGAATAAAATCAAATAATTTCATATATTTATTCATTAGTTAGTTTAAATATAATATTAAAATATATTTTTGTATAAAAAATATGATGTTTTGATTATTATATTTTGTTTAGAAAAGATATCCGTGAATATCCGAATATCCGTAAATATTTGGAAAAAATTTGGATATTCGTAATTCTGGATATCCGAAATTTTCCGAAACAAAGCAAATGGGAAAGTTACATATCCATAAAAAAACAAATCGAATCACAAATACTGCATTTTTCCGAATATCCGCCCGCGCCCAACCCTATTAATAGTATGTGGATACGTTAGCATATGCTTTCTTGAATATCATCGGTTTACATATCCTCTATATATTAACAGATGAGACATTAAGTGAAAAATCTTATGTGTCATCTAAAGAAGATTTTAATGAACTCTTTTATTAATAAAAACTATTAATGACAAATATATGGAAATAACAAATATGTGGTAGTTAATATAGAGAATTTTATTTAAGAAATATAGAAAATATTTGAAAATATCTTATTTTCTTTTCAATAATTACTAGATTTTTTTATCTGAGTCAAACGCTGGATTAGAATATTCAAAAAAAAAATTCATGATTATTTTTAATAAATGGGAGAAATGAAAAATAACAAAGATCAAATATATTTATGTTTGATCAAATTTAACTTTATTACGTTTATGCATAATACATATCATTTTTATACGTTTATAAATATTAGAATACACGTCAAAATATTATTTTTGATTAAAAAATATTTAATTATTTAATCCTACGTTTGGCGTGGATAAAAATCTAGAGAATATATTACTCCAGTGAACTGCTAATATGATTACAAAAATGTAAATAAAATCAACGAGTCCCGGAAACAGATGTTTATGATCGATTATATATGTTCCAACGGGTAATGTTATTGGACTTTTTTATAATTAGTCTATAAATATTATTAGCCTAAAGTTATGTGACATTAAACCATTTCCAGTGGAATCTCTCATTTTAAAAAACAAAAAAAGTAACACTAAAACGAATTTGAATTTTGCTTCAATCCATTTTCTCAAAAAGAATAATACAAATATATTCAGTTGTCATTTTTTCATGAATTTTTAAAATTACCTTCTGTTTTACTTTTAACTTTTACAAATTATATCACTAATTTTAAGTTTTGAAGAATTTAATAAAATTTAGATTTTCTCCATAAAAAGTTTAGTTATCTCAATAAAAAGTTTATCATATAGATAAAATTGCACAACACCACATACAGACACTACAAGAAAACAGAGTCTGTCGGAAATCCGTCGGAATAACCCCTATTCCGACGGTTTTCTGACGGTTTTGGTCCGTCGGTTCTATCTCGTCGGAAATAAAAATCCGTCGGAAATCCGTCGGAAATACTGAAGGATTTCCGACGGAAAAGGGATAATCGGATGCGTTGCCCGAATGCGTTCTGCATCTTCTGCGC